GCCTACTGAAAAGGATGAAACTCGACAATGAAGACGTTCGTGAAGTGGTATGATATAAAGTACTTCAATAAGTTGATGAAGATTTGTGGATGGGCACATAATTTTATCCATGTGTACCTGTGTGTGTGTGTGTGTGCATGTGTATGTGTGTGTATATTAACAAGTATTAGTAATATTTTAAAGACCTGCCACATATGAATGAAGAGGGACCGACAATAGTAGATGATTCACTTTTGCCCAAAAGCATATTCTTCATGTAGTGTCTAGTGCGAATCAGGGAATCTGACTACCAGAAGTTGATATTCACCTTACAAATGTCTCCAATAATTCACAAGAGCGAATGAAATAGTAAATATGAGATAATCTGTGTAGTAACCAAATTGCTGGGGATTTTTCTGATAAGTGCAGAAACGGTAGCGACAGCAAAAGCGGAGGGCAAATCAAATAATATAGGCAAATACCGGCTTGAACATGAGATAAAGAGGAGTGATAAGCGCTGAGTTAGCATAGCATGTATTCGCAGGCCATGACGGAATTGCGACACGAATTTCTTCCTTCACTCTTTCAGCAATAATATCTTAGTCATTTTTTCTTGCCTCCTCGGGGACGACTGGAACTGGAGTCTGGTCCGAGCTCGAGGGCGCTGAGGCTGGGCTCGGCATGCAGCTGCCGGTTGGCTCTACATGCGCCCCCTTGCCACCCATCAGCTGGAAGCGCTTGTAGTAGAGTTGGATCTGAGTAAACACGCACTTCCAGTCCGGGACCTTCATTCGAAGCATGTCTTCTACGTCGAGGATTGGAGCAACATTCCCCAGTTTTCTACAGTTTATTACATAAGGCAAACAAATAAGAGGTTGCAAATTTAGTTAATGCTTCCTGTTGCGTCCGTAGGACATGAAGGGATAATTTATGAGACACTTACAAATAGCTCAAGTCTCGATAGACAACTTGATTTAAGTTTCATTAGAATATTCTGCATGTAGGAATGTGAGGATATTCGCAGCCAACCTAGCCTTAATCACCCCATACGAAATGCAGGATGCTACGAGTAATGCGTAGTGAGAGATGAGCAAAATAGCTTAGCTGAGATTTCAAGACTTGTTGGCACTGTCTAGAAGGATCTCAAAATGTGTCACGTCACGGACAAACATGTCATTGCTTCTGTCTACAGTCCACTCTGTATGGAAGCTGGCAATCGATATGCAAAAGAGAGGCCGATTGCACTGATTCACTTTCTTTACATTTTGATGCACAACAGTCGAGGGCTTATTTTACAAAGGAATCACGTAAAAAGTTTAAAATATCCCATTTAGTGAGGCTAATTGGCTAAGGTGTTCATAGATGAAATGATCTTATTTGTTGCGATTTCAAGGATCAAGGGCTCAATCTTACTTCATATAAGATATATTAATGTGAATATATGTCCAATCTGAAATAGATCCTTAGGAGATTTTGTGGTCTTTAATGCTTCCATGACCAGTCCTTATAAAAACCGCCATAAAATGATTGGTCTCATTAGAAATTTAACTTCCGTAAATGGATCTGCTTAAAAATAAATAAAAAGTACGCTAAAATGCTAATCTCAGTAAGAGGCACTTCGCTTGCCTTTAGGGTATTTTGAGATAGGCATTCCTGTCTATACAAATTTTCCGGAATTTAGGATATAGTTAATACAATTGGGAGCAGACAAGCTGCTAATGCTCAAAGTACTTACATTTATGGTTCAGTTCCATATACAATTTGAGCTTGGTTTATTGGAATCGGTTGTAGTCACGCTAAGAAATAACATACTTACGAAGGATAGAGGAAATAGTTGGCCGTATTTGACAGAATGTGATCTGATATTCTTCCATCTTTACACAAAATCATTGTTAAAGTATCAGGAATATTCTGCTCATTGCGATAGCATATTAAGACAGCTCTCATTTAAATATGCTAGAAAGAGACATACTCCCCTCATTAAACAGATATAAAATTAACTAACGTTTTCATCGTAATCCCCAAGCTGGAATAGATTTATTAGCTCAACGTACTTGTTACTTAAAATACATGCATAGTTTGGGAGAACTGGAAGGTAGCTGTCTCTCTACACATAATGGAATACTTGTTAGTAGGTTAGGCTAATGGAGCAGTAATATTAAAATGATAGATTATACCGACTCGAGGCATTTTAGGCTTTAATGCATGATTCCTAATGCATCCAAGATTGAGGGAGGAAAAGCCTTGATCTGATGACTAACATCCTCTGGAAAATATGCAATGCAAGTGTTATGTCACTAAGGCTAGACTTTAGTATCGACGGCTTATAGTTAACGTTGATATCTTCGCAAAAAAGTATAGGGTGGCTTATGTGCGGTCCTGAAACAAACCAAGAAAGTATCCATTTTATGCAGAAATAACTAAGATTTGACATATGCCTCTTTTGAATAAAGATTTCAAAGAAGACACAGAAGACAATTATAGTTTGTTGGCAAAATATCAGTGGATTTTATTATTCATTCTAGTTACCGGTACTTATAGCCCACGAGAAGCACAATTATAAATTTCATTTGAAGGTATGAAAACCAAGATGGTTTGGCATTTTGTATGTTTGCAATATCCATTGTTGAATAGTAGTTGGTCGACCTTGTTTTCGCAACTTGGTCATATTGAAATGAAGATATAGAGAAGCGCACCTTGCCTGTATTTCATAGTTAGTATGATAATTTAAAAAGTCGAACCGTAGACTTGGTACATTCCCAGACTTTTTACCGGCAGCGTCAGTGAGCCATGCCATAATCAGCATCCTACTACAACTCATCAAAGAGACAAGTGAAGTCGATCCTTCGACCAATTGTCTGCTAAACAGTTGTAGCATCTTTCCTGCTTATTAACTGTGCTATAAGGTGCCCTTGTGGGCGGAATTCATGAGACCTCTTTACACTCCATACTGGATTTCTCACCCCATCCCACCTCCCTTGCTCTGAGTCTACCCTATTTGTCCGCAATCCTCTTCCAATAGGTCTTATCAGCGTTTCCCCCTTGCCCCGCAGGCTTCGTCTGCTAACGCTCTGGTTCATGGATTCCAATCGACCACTGCCACGCTATCTCTGATACTCGAGTCGTTATTTCCAACACTCTAACTTTATCCTTAGATGGCATATATACTCCCGTTTCGCTAAGCAGACACCCAAAGTCTGTACTTTCAAGCTGGTTGAAAGACTAACTTTAGGCTATAGATCCCCTCCTAATCACCATTCGAAATGTGCACCGGGTAACACTTATGCTCAAGCCTTTGCGTCTATTGTCAAACACGTCTACTGTTAGCCAACTAGCTCTTGTCTCCGACACATCTATCTTGCTTCTATCCATAATGTTAAGTCCATGATATCCTATGCTCTAGTCGTTAGCCTTCCAGCACTAAAATGGTGTATTTCTACTTGTTTTAACTAGGCTCACTCTAGACGTCTCCACTTAGTTTCTGATTGTTCCATTCTAGGATTCTTGCGATTTATTTCCTTCGAATTAAGGA